GGCCGAGGATCAGGGGCTGGGGGCCGCGAGGAGCTCCCGGCCCGAGGCCAGCACAGACGGGCGGCGGGGAGGGCCGGGCCGGGGCTGGCCCGGCCGGGCCTGCCGCCCACAGCCCCGGCTGGCGCAGACCGCGGCCTCCCCTTTTTCCTCGCAACTCACCCGCCTCTGCCGGCGCCGCCCGGCGGCTTCTTCTTGCGGCGGCGGCGGGGCTGGGCGGCTTCTGCGGCGGCCGGGCCGCTCAAGTAGCGCCGCAGGTACTCGGCCTTGGAAAGCCCCGGCGCCGCCATCTTACCGCCAGCCGGAAGGGACGGCGCGCGCACAGGGACACGCGGCGGTGGCGGCGGGCGACGGGGGCGGGACCGGGGCCGGCCGGGGGCGGAGCCAGCAGCAGCAGCAGCCTCACACCGTGCCTCCAGAACACCTTTTATTTGGGGATCGCAGCCCCCAGGGCACCCCAACGCGACCCCTCTCCCAGCCCACACATCAGCAGTAGGCCTCCGGGGAAAGCGACAGGGGACTCCAGCCCCGAACAAGTCCTGGTCGTTGCCGGAGCCGTTGGGGGAAAAAGGCTGAAGGGGTCCGGCTGCACCCAGCTACCGGCCCGGGGCTCCCTCCGCCTCGTAGCCCTCCGTCTTCATGTCGTTCAAGCCCAGGTCTTCGTTCTGCTCAAACGTACGCTCGTAGCGCTCCACTTTCAGCTCCGGGTCCTCTTCTGGGGCATAGACGTTCTGCGGGGTGAAACAGAGGCCTCCTTCGCACCCCTCCTCTCCAAGTCTCAGTCACCGGCACTCTTCAGCAACACCCCAGCGATGGCAAGGGGCTTGGGACAAGATTCACCCCCCAGCCGAGGGCAAGACTTGTCCATCACCCCACGGAGACCATGACTCGGCCCAGCCCCTCACCCCAGGGAGCAGACACTGCTCCCGTCTCCCTCCCTCCCAGAGCCCCGAAGGGAACCCTGCCCACCAACACACACCAGGGAAATAAAGAAAATCCACCTAAAGCGCCCAGACTTCAAGGCGTTCATCTTTCGAGTGCACAACACCGTACCTGAAGATAGCTGTTGCCTGCAGGGTCATCCATGATGAAGTGAGCCTTTGCCTTCCCCTCTACAATCTGCAAAAAGAGCACAGCCAGGCATGAAGGCTCTTTCTGATCCTTCAGCACTTCTGGCACAAAGACATTCGCAGCACGCTTTAGACAGTTCAAATGTTCTCCTTGTTTAAAAAACAGCCATGGCTTGCGGAAAGAAGCGAGGCAAGCGTGGAACAGCTAGAAACGGTAAGGCAACACTCGCCGAGGAGTTCAGTTAAACATACACTGTTGCTGCAGCGACAGTGGCAAAAACCACATTGCGGAGCACTGAAGATGAAGAGCGCACTCACCTCACGCAGTTTCCCCAGGAACTCTTGCAGCTTTTCCGTTTTGCTGGGCGTAGAGCTGTCCCCCAGGGTGAAGGGGTTTCTCTCAACCTGGAAGAGCAGACTGCCCCTCACTCAGCCAGCTGTGAGACACCCAGCCCCTCAGCCAGGCCAAATATTCACGCAGAGGGGGCTGAGCTCCACCAGGCCGCAGCGCAGGACCACTCACCAGCTCTCCGATGTCCTTCAGCAGCCCTTCCAACGTGGTGAATTTGCCCCCCAGCGCTCCCATCCCCAGCTCGAACTCCAGCTCTGGGATCTCCACACTGCATGTCTCCGACTGCAAGAGCGAGCACCCCCTGAGTCCCCGGAGAGGGACAGCCAGGCCCACACGCACCCACCGCAGGAAGACAGGGCAGGTATCCAAAGGCACCGTACCTTTAGGACATCCCTCGTCATGTCGGAAGGGTCTGTAATCCGAAGGGTAATCCTGGTACCTTGCGGTTCAATTGCTCCGCCAGACTTCACCTAGGAACACCCAGCAGTCAGCTTCACGGCCTTTTGTATTTAAGTCACACCACAATGCTTTAAGAGGGTTTACCCTGGCAGCTTCAAGGCCATGCCAAACCCAGGGGCAGTGCCTTAACCCAGGGGACTTGGGCAGGTGTGGAGTCAGCTTACTTGCACCAAATGAAGCTCTACAAGACTAAATTCTCCCACTTCACTTGTTTGGGAAGGCAAGTCAGACCCAGGCTGATCTTGCTGCACGAGCCAGCCTCCACACAGCTCACATAGGGTCTGGCCCCCACCCAGAAGCAACCAAGGGAGCTCTACCACACCCAGCACTACATGCCTCATGATGCTGCCCGTAAATCCAGCATCACTCCCAGCCTGGCTTCCCAAACAGCTGCATCATGAAGTGGCAGCCAGGGACTCTGAGAAACACCTACCCACAAAAGCACAGAACACCGCTCCCCCTCCCCGCTGCCCACCCCTGCCCCCCTCCCTGCCCTGCAAAAGGGTCAGTACTTTTCCAGCTCACCTCATTTGTCCTGTGCCCACAGGAGTCGCAGTTTGTGGCCATGATAATCACCTCCTTGAAGTGTGGGATTTCTGGAGCAGACAGTCAAGGAAAAGTCAGTGAAAGGAAAGCCTCAAAGCAGCAGCCTGCACCCACCTCACAGCCTCAGCCTTCCCCAACATATTGCGGGAGCTCGCTGGCAAGCTGTGAGCAGCACCCAGACAAATTTGCACCCTGACAGGCTCTAGGAGAAATGATTTCTGCATGCCTGGTGGGTGCAGCAGGAAGAGATCCTGGTCAGCACACAGAGCAGCTCTCACCCCTGCAGAGGGCACCAGCCTGTGCCCACGCTCAAAGGATACGCACTAACTTCATATTTGTGTTAGCTGGAGCATTGCACTCTGGGCAGTTGGTGTTGAACTGCAATACCTGGGTCACAGGAATGGAAAGGAGACTCAGAAAGTCCCGGTCAGCCCAGAAAGCCTGCCCTGGGTGCCAGTCACCCAGGCACAGCCACCACCACGCTGCAAAGTGACCCACCTCATTCCTCAGATCCTCTGCAGAATTGGCTGCCTTCTCATCCACCTCCTCTCCCTGCACAAGAGGACACCAGAAGCAGCATTAACTTCTGTTCCTTAATTCAGGGTCTCCCAGAGAGCAAGGGGGCTGACCAGCACTGCTCCCCCAGGCCGAGAGTGTGCACAGGCCCGCTGGCAGCAGTGGCAGCTCCCCATTACCTCCAGTCCCAGCATGGCAGCCTGCTGGGGAGTCCTCCTATAATGAGTGACCACAAGAGCGTCATCCTTCTGCGGTGCATGAGGGTTCTCCACAAAGCTGTTCCCTGAAGGATCGTCTACGACCTACAGGAGAACAAGGCCTTAGAAAGCCACCCCGCACTTCCCCCATGCCAAAAGGGGCTGCACTCTTGCGCATACTCACAAAGGTGAAGGAGGAATGTACTTCTTTCAGCTGCTTTAGTTTACCAATGAACTCATCTATTTTACTCGCCACCTCTTCGTCCGTTGCCTGCCAAAGAGAACACGGTGGAGACGGATGCCAGGGGCAGCCCGGAGCTGAAGACAACACTGATAACAGTGCAAACCAGAGAGCCCCTAAGGCTCTTATCAACAGCGTGCAACGCCCAGAGGCAGGGGACGAACAAAACAAGTATTTGCCAAGCAGGCGTTCCTGAGGCGCTTCCCCTTTTGCGGCACCTTACCCTGCGGACAGGCTGGTCCTGCTCCAGGCCTGCGACAGCTCTGTCAATTATCCCCTCAACGGTGGTAAGGACTTGAAAGAGAACAAAAGCTCACAGTGGTGCTACCCACCCCACAGATCCCCAGCAGCAGCCTTCGCACACATGCCCCATCAAGCTCATTTGACCCAATGGCCAGGAGGCCAGGTCCCTAACCAGCGCCTGCTGCACACCCGCCGGCAGGCGGAGGGGTGCAGACTGCATACCCACCTCCCTTCTGGGTGAAGGCAGGGATCTCAAAGTCCAGCTCTGGAATTCGAGCCGTGGCACAGTCGGTCTTCACCACCTCCCTGTTCATGTCCTGCAGGCGACAGTCAGGGAGTGGCATTAGGATCCCCAACAGGGCCGGAAGCTCCCGCAAGCTACAGGACCACGCCTGCCAAAGTGGTGGCGTTAGCTCCAGGTCAGCTTTAGCAGCTTCTCCACTGGCGCAGGGGCGCACCAGGAATGCGCGCATTTGGGGCTTTAAACGGTAGCTTCCAAACAAAAAATGCTGTTTCTCAAATGGCACAGAAAACACTTTATTGCTCAAGCAAGACCAGCTTGTGAGGGGCCAAAGATGCAAGGCAGCTCCCCGCCGCCCCGGTGCAGGGGTAGGCCCAGCCCCACTGCCGGGGACAGACGAGGGGGTCCCCCCGCTCACCTGACGGGAGGTGACACTCAGGGTGTAGCGCACACCTTGCTCCTGGATCCTGCCGGCAGACTGGATCTCCGTGTTGGACCAGGAGCAGCTGTCACAAGCGAAGGAGCTGACGATGATCTCTTTGAAGAAGGGGATCCTGGTGAGCAGGAGCCGCGTCACTCCCTGTGGCAGCGAGGGGCCTCGTGGGAACCCGAGTCCTCAGGGCGCTGTTTCCCCCCCAGCCCCGTGTTCCTGCCAAGAACCCCCCCAGCCGGGTCCCCGTCCCTGAGCCCTGC